GGGGAGGAAGTGGGAGGGGAGCTGTTGCATTGTGGTAAACTGTGGTCAATGTCATGAGACAAAGTGTATGTGAACTGTTGTATGGAAAGTGAATTTGCTCTGTAAATCTTCACCTAAATCACAATAAAAAATAAATAAATAAAAAGGTAAATGTATCTGAAAAAGTAACCAGTGAAATAGTAACCAGCCTAATTATAAATTATATACATGATTTTAGAGTAATATAATTTGTCACAGTTTAGAGTCTATATTAACAGAAGGTGTCTCACTAAGAATGTCAAATAACATTGTTAGCATCACCAGATATGTATAAAATGAATGCAGAAGAGTTCCAACAAAGAACTAAAAATGTCTGGCAGAGAGAACATGTGCTCAAATTCTCCCTTTAATAACTTACCAATGGATCTCAATGTGATATCTCATGGACCACCTAAAATCAGAAACTTTTCAATGAAAGACTGTGCTCCTCAAGTGGGCTATGAAACATTTCATAATTTAATAATTGATTTGATAATATGAAGGTAACATCATAGTAGTATATTTGTGTTGCTTTGGACTTAATATATATTAACACTTGAAGGTAAGTTCTTGTGATAGTTTGCTATTTTCCTTAGGAAACTCTCATAATAGCTCCCCAATTTTGGACAAACAGGTATGGGCACAGATTTTTAAACCCAAATTTGGATGAAAACACTATTAGAACATAAACTGCCAGGGAAGATGTTTTTAAAGTTCCCCAATATTTTTAAATAGATCATAATTCTCAATCAATATAAGAGCAAAAATCACACCTGGTAAAGTGTGAAATCTTAGCCTGAGGTTTTCAGTCAATAGTTATTTATTAAGTGTTAATTTTTTCCTTCTCCAACATCTATTTGGCACTAAAATTAAAGTGTCATTTAAATTTTATAATACCTTACCACAAAAACTCAGATTCAGTTTGATAAATAATAGTGTTCAATTACATATGGAAGAATCATCTTGGCTTACCTAGCTGTTGTTGTTGTTGTTATGTGCCATCGAGTTGGACCCGACTCATAGAGACCCCTCCTTGGGTTTCTGAGGCAGTATCACTATGGAAGTATATTTCCCAACTTTCCTCCTGAGGAGTGGCTGGTGGGTTTGAACCGCTAGCCTTCTGGTTAGCAGTCAAATGCTTTAGGCACTATGCTACCAGAGCTCCAGGCTTATCTAGCAAGAACACACCAATCTATCATAGGCCAAAAATATGGTGTGAGCATATAAGTATATTAAAAATGAGACAGCATACCAAATCATTATTGTATTTTAACTTCTTTAATAATACACTCAAAATTTTAACACAAGGAGCCACTATTTTAATTAACATCATACACAGTTATAATTAACAAAAGACTGAACACATTTATGAACAAACTAGCATCTGTTTTAGGTTCATGGATTACCCAATATATTTGAAATATATAGCATGTAAAGTCACAGGACCATAGGGATAAAAGGAAACCCTATAAGCTTAATTGCAATCGGATTCATTTTGATACAGGATAATCTTTAAACTCACAAAGGCATATTGGCTCATCTACCTAATCATATAGATGTTAACCACAGAGCCCCCAAATATGGAGTGATCACTTACAATTAAAATGAAGTATAACAATAAAGAGGAATAAACCAATTCTCTTACCTACTATTTTTTACTTTTCAATAGGAGCACTTACAATGTTAATATGAGATAGAATTTTACTATTTAACTTTACATATACCAAAACCACAAACAAATACAGCAAGAATACAGACATACTAAAGCTTCTGGCTTTAATATCATACACTAATTAAGCTATTCAAAAGTTTAAAGCATATGAAGTCACCACAGGGGGTATAAAGAAACCTTAAGACCTAATTTGATTCAACACACTCATTTTAAGCTGACCACAACAAAGACCAGGGACATTCCATGTGTGGTTTTGAAAATTATACTTATCTACTTTGGTTGTGAGAAATACAAGTTGACCAGGTTAGAGGAGTCTAACCTTCAAACTGGTAATTCAAATATCCTCATTATGTGTGACTAAATTTGGGAAGATGTTAAATATCCATGAAAAGTTCTGCTTGTAAGTCAGATGCCTTATGCTGAGGTTTTAAGACAAAAGTATACTTCACAAATGGGACAGTGAACATAAATTATTACAAGTCAAGATAATAGTCACACAGAAGAGAAGAAAATTTTCTTGATATGCAAAAACTGTGTTTTCATGACTTTTTCAAAACTGAGTTTACAATAAAGTGTGTTAGCAAGCATAAAACCATTTAATAACTTTAGAGCTCATGTAATTTTTGCTGAAAAAGTTACTGAAATTACCAACAAAATGACAGAGTATTTTCAAAGCAGTGCTCCTTTTTTCACCTGTAATAATTTCTTTTGCCAACTTTCAAGAAATAGTTTCTGGAGTATAAATTTTGTGCAAAAAGACTTCAATTTTATTGTCACCCAAATTACAGATATCCAAGATACCGACGATATGTACTCTATTCAGCTCAGTTACTGCTTTCATAATATCACCTAAAAGTAAAAAGCAGATGGTAAGTACTGTAAAATAGTTAATTATTTACTTCCATTTTGCATCACATAAACTGATGATTTTTTTCTTATGATATTAACACTATCATCATCTCTTCCTTCTCCCTCATAACTTTGCCAAAGTAATGTCATAGTAACTTCTGAAGATAAAGGTGAACAAATTAAACAAATGCCACCAATAATGTCAAGACACGGGCTGGTACTCCAAAGCCGTATATGTTGTTGTTGTGTGCCATCAATTCGGACCTGACTCATAGCGACCCTTACTTGGGTTTCCGAGGTGGTATCACTACAGAAGTAGCCATATTTAGTTTTTTTTTATCAAGTGGAGCTGAGTAAATCTACATATTTTCAACATCATTTATGTAGTTCCAAGTGAAAAAAAAAAGCATCATTATATTTCAAGGAAGTGCAAAGATAAATTTTTCTATTTTGAAATTCATTTATCAATTATTTGTAAAATCTGTAAGCCATAAATTTTTTAAAAAAATAGGTAAGTAAAACTGCTTTTTAAAGCATTTCATTTGAAATGGCTTTATGAACTAAGATTTAGCATACTATATTCTCAAGAAGTTTTATCAGAAATGCATGAGGTGAGTGATTTCACTAAAAATGGTGGAGTAGGGAATTAATTCTAGGGCTCCAACCACTAAACTAAATTCTAAAACAACCATTAAACTGGAAAAAAACATTCAGAATCAACTTTTTCAGAACACTGGAATCTAGTCAATAGTAACAACCATGAAAAAGAATAATGAAGAAAGAATCTGCTACATTGTAGTAAGAGAGCACTGTGACATTTTAAATAGACAATTTACCACCCTTTTCCAAATCAGTAGAAGCCACAAATGTGCCAATCTGCACTCCTGGTGCAGGTTGCTAGTACCAGAAGGAACAATGTAGACTCTATTCTTAAAGAATTGTGACTATGTATTTTGACCTGTCTGGTGGCTCCGTAAAGGACTGATGCAAGGACTTGCCTTTTTTTTTTTTTTTTAAATCTAACTTGGAGCTTTCTCAGGGCCAGGGAAGGTTCAGGGGTGGCTTTTTCTGAAAGCATTTAAAGGAAATAGTATCGACCAGAGCATCTGGAACAAGGTATAAGGTTAGGAGAAGCAATAGACAGAACAAAAAGCCTAGGAATGGAGAAACACGGGGGAATAATGTCTTTAAAAAGCTCCTGCATACTCAACAGAATCAAGGCCATACACATGTCTAGGGCTGGACAAATGCTCAGAAAAGGCTTGAGAAGACCTCTAACCTTTCACCTATGGCTGACCTTCAGGCTCTGCACAAGCAGGAATTGAAGGCTAAGGAAGAATGTTAAATAGTCTGGCTAGGCTTTGAAGGAATGTTGGAACACAGAGCCAATATGCAAAGATTTGGAGAATATTTTTTCCCCTTTTCCTCCCCCTTTTCTTTGGCTTCTAGCCCAAAAGGTTGGTGGTTTGAATCCACCAGTCTCTCCATGTGAGAAAGATGAAGCAGTCTGCTTCTGTAAAGATTTACAGCTTAGGAAAACTATTGGACAGTTCTACTCTGTCCTATAGGGTTGCTATGAGTCAGAATTGACTCAATTAATAGTGGGTTGGCAGTGGGTTTTCTTGGCACCAGGTGTTTAATGAAATGTTTGCTGACCATTATTAAGTAATGAAACACAGACATCAGTGGCCACACATGACAAAGAACATGGACTTTACAAAACTCAATGGGAAAGTACTAAATAAACAGCAACAACTCACAACAAGCAGCAATAACAAACTCCAGAGTGGAACAGGAATCTGATTTCCAGAGGTGCTACATTATAATAACATTCATCATATTTCTCTGATGCTTTGTTGATTCTTTTTCATTCTTTTTTTCTGTTCTTCAGATGGCATTAAATAACATTCAAAATGTCCACTTTTCAACAAAAATTATGAGGCATGAAAAGAAGCAAAAGCACAGCCCATTCACAGGAAAAAAGAAACAAAAATGAATAAAAACTCTCCCTGAGCACTGGACTTACTAGATAAAGACTTTAAGTCAACTATCTTAAATATACTTAATGAGCTAAGTGAAACTACAGGACAGGAAGTATCAATAAAGAGATAGAAATTATACTTAAAAAATTATGAAAAGCAAACAAATAGAAATTCTGGAGCTGAAAAGAATAATAACTAAAATGAAAATTAGCTAGAGGTGTTCAACAGCAGATTTGAACAGACAAGCAAAGAATAAGCAAACTTGAAGATAGGTGAATTGTGATTATACAGTCTGAGGAACAAAAGTAAAAAAGAATGAAGAAAAATGAACAGAGCCTAAGAGACCTGTGGAATACCACCAAGCAGGCCAATATATGCATTATGGGAATCACACACAATAAAACAGTAGTGAGAGAAAGGAGCAAAAAGAACATTTGAAGAATTAATGGCTGAAAACTTCTCAAATTTGATGAAAACCGCATCAAAGAAAAACTTCATTTCAAGAAGCTCAATGAGCTCCAAGTACAATAAACTATAAAAGAGTCACAGCTAGATACATCATAATCAAATTTTCAAAAAATACAAAGAAGAGATCTTTAAAGCAATAACAGAGAAGTGACTCCTCATGTACAAGGGATTCTCAATGAGATTAACAGCCGATTTCTCATCAGAATCCATTTCTGGAGACCAGAAAGCATTGGGATAACGTATTCAAAGTACTGAAAGAAATAAAAACTGTCAACCAGGAATTCTATTCTGGCAAAACTATCCTTCAAAAATGAAGAATAAATTAATCCATTACCAAATAAACAAAAATAGATATTTTATTGCAAGCAGACCTGACTTATAAGAAATACTAAAGGGAGTCCTTTATGCTGAAATGAAAGGACACTAGACAGTAACTTGAATCCACATGAAGAAATTAAGAACAATGGTAAAGTTAGCTACATAATATAAAAGCCAGTATTACTGCCTTTTTGGTAACTCCTCTTTTTAATTATATTATTTAAAATAAAAATGCATAGATAATTATTATAAATCTATGTTAATGGACACACAAGGTATAAAGATGTAATCTGTAACAATAACAACACAACAGAGGGGAGCAGAGCTGTACAGAGAAATTTTTGTATATTACTGAAGCTAAGTTGGTATTAAGTCTGTAATGGTAAAGTCTTTGTATACTATTGAAACTAAGTTGGTATTAATTCAAACTCCATTGTTATGAAGTTAAGATGCTAATTGTAAAGCCCAGGGTAGACACTAAGAAAAAAACCCTAAAAATCACACAGAAAAAGAAACAAGAAGGGAGTCAAAATGGTACACTAGAAAACATCAATTAATCACAAAATGTACCATTAATGGATACAACATATAGAAGGCTAATAGCAAAATGGCAGAAATCCTCCATTATCAATAATTATTTTAAATGTAAATGAATTAAACTCTCCAATTAAAAGTAGCAAATATTTGCAAATCATGTATCTGATGAGTTTACTATCGAGTATATATAAAGAACATCTGAATCGATGGCAGTGAGTTTTGATTTTTTTTGGGAGGGGGTACAACTCAATGACAAAAAGACAACCCAATTAAAAAATGGGCAGAGGAATGAATAGACATTTCTCCAAAGAAGATATACAAATGGCCAGCAAGCACATAAAAAGGTGCTCAACATCAGTCATTAGGGAAATTCAATTAAAAACTAGAAGATACTACTCATACTCACTAGGATGATTATAATGAAAAATGGAAAATAACAAGTGATGGTGAGGATACGGAGAAATTGGAATCTTTGTACATTGCTGGTGGAGATATATGATAGTGCAGTAACTGTAGAAAACAATTTGGCAGTTTCTCAAAAAGTTACAAGTAGAATTACCATATTATCTAGAAATTCTACTCCTTAAGTATA